GCCTACTTTATGTCAGGAAAATGTTAGTTACCATGACAGAGGCTGACCAGTCTACTTTTCATGCCGCCTGTCACTTGTTACCGGCCGCACTTGTCACTTTTCCTGCCGCACCGGTCACATGGCTAAATGTCTATAATGACTCCTGTCATTATTGACAGATTGGCATTAATCAAAATTTCTATATGAAAATTGAAATTTTATATTAAAATACGATTTCGGACAAAAATTTAATACAGAACTCATCAGTAAAATGTCATTACCTGACTCGGATATTAAAGTACTGGGGCCTTATACTTCAATATTTTTTCGCCAGTAATGTGTCATTTTCCTGATTTTTATGTAAACAACTATTACATGAATAGAGTCTTTTTAGTAAACGCAGAAGGTACGGTTGACATTAACATAAACTTTGCAAGTTTTCTTGAAAATTTCAAATGGAACGATATCATTATTGTGAAATTATCTTTGGCTCTAATGTGAATCAAGGTACAGGTTAATAACGGCGTGGGGTTTGATTTGGGTTCGACTAAAAGAATTGATTAGCAAAAGGTACAGTAAGGTGGACCTTTATAAAGACACATAAAACCAAATACAGACAAATAAATATATCTCTGGCATGTCAGGTGGCTTAATTGCACTTTTGCGTGGAATACAGTCGAGATTTCAAAACCAAGAAGCCCTGCCTAAATATTAATATTCATTATTACCTGGTTCAAATAGTGCAAGGAGCATTAGTTAATTTATTATAACATTACAGCAAAACAAAACACGGCGTAGTAAAATATTAGTAGTAAAGTTGATACCAAGTGCAAATATTCAACAATCTTGACTTTTGATTAACAAATCCAAGTTGGTCGCAGTCAACGTTAAAAACAAGTTTAGCAGGACTTCCCTCCGAAGGCAGGTAGTAATTATAGACCCTCGTGAGGGAATTCGCAGCCTATAGCCGAAGTTTGAGTCGAGTACCAGTATGAAATGTTGTAATGCTAATGTGGTTACAGTTATTTACCAACCCCGTGACCATCTCTTCAATTCGAAAACTGTTAGTTTACAAACAGGTCCACACATTCACCAAACTTCAAACAATTCGATAATTTCCACATGTTTAAAAGAATGATCAAAATTTATAAATTCAACTTGGTCTAAGACCATGTAATCGAAACAAACAAAAATTTCAAACAAATGGTTAACGGTGTCAAAAATAAGAATGAAACTCCCAAAATACAAATTACTGCATGCAAAACACAAATACATTATAAAGAAATGTAAAGATTAGTACCTGCATTAGATAACATAAAATAACAACAAACGTCGACGGGACGGAAGTTAATTTACTTCGCTTTCCTGATAGGTCTCCTCATGGGTCTCCCTATGCACCGTGCACTTACCCTACCCCGCCCAGTTGTTTGTGGGAAAAGACATCGCACGTAATAATCTGATATTCTTAACCAAACAGTTTGAAAGCGGATCACCTTAAGGCTTGTTTAACAGCGCACAGTTGGCCTTTTTTCTGTTAGTTGAATCCGAAATTGTACAAAAAACCCGGTAATCACGATGTTTCCAAAGAGTATACAATACGGTGCTACTTGGGGTACTCAGGAAACACTAAATTTTTACACAGTAGCGAGTCGCTTGAAAACGAGAAATTTTCCTTCTCTAATAATAATCATAATAATCTTTATTGTTGTTAAGACAAAAAAATTTTTGTTTACAAACGTCAATTTTGGAAAATGAATGATTATGAAATAGATTAAACAAATATAGCATACGAGCTCCTGGGTATGGCTATAGCTTTGCATTATATGGTTGTGGTTTACTGCACATTATCTTGATTTTGTTTTTGGAATATTGTTTTTTAACAATAGAAATGTTTATGGTTTCACAGGTATATCGTATACAGGTAGGTATATTACAGTTCTGAATTTTTAATGCAAGTGGAAAAGATAACGGTGTCACATCGCGGAAAAGTCCATACGGTACCTACTTAATAGTGCTCAATTGTTTTGTTAATTCCAATGTAAAATTCCTGCACATTTCCTGTCATGGTATTACGAATGCTCGTACGACGCTTATGATTCATAAGGGTGACGTTTGAATAAGAGTTATTCGTGTTTTACAAATGGCGTTATAAGGTTATCATTTCCAATGTTTAATGTTTTCGATGGTGCATGGATTGCGAAATCTGTGAATTTTTTCTCAGTGTAGGATGTGTGAGCCAAATTTAAAGCCCTGTTCCTATTAGATTTAGCATTTTAGAGAAAAAAGTCAATAAATAGATACATGAATAGTTAGCTCTCTGGCAAATTTCTCCAAGAGTATAGATCTAACTGCACTTCTCAATCTATGGTATCATTAATGAAAGTGCAAAATCAATCAGTCACAGCAATTAAAAGTCACTAACATGAAGTTCTCTCTAAGAATAGTGCAGGTTATTAATACTATTTTCTTATCTATTGTAGACAACGTATATGTCATTCGGGCATGGGCATGGATTAATAGTGAGTTCGACCCTTTGGTATCCCATAATTTACAAATAATTGACATAGGTTAACTTAGGGTAATTGCAGTTCGTCTGGGACCTCTCATCCCTAGTAAAAGTTATAGTACAAGGTTAGATTAGGCCAAAGTTATAGTACCTATAAGATTAGATAATGTGAAACACTAGTAAGTTATAAGATAAATCGGTATACGTAATTATATGCAAGCACGTTTTGTTTTCTTAAACTTTAGTCTATTTATTTATGGCCCAACAGGTCCTTTTTAAAATTGAATTCGTTCCTCCGTCCGTGCGAGAAGTCTTAAGTGGGCCTCATTGCACAAGTGCACATGCACAATCTGTCGATCGATCCAAAACTGCCCACTAATCTAGTCGATCCAATATTTGCATTGTTTTCCATAGTGTACGAACAATAAAGAATTTTATAATTTTCCTACACCATGTAAAATTTCAATTTGACAGAAACAAAAGGAATTCAGATAACTTTTAATACCAAGCAGGGAGCGACAAGATTATGTCACGTAGTTACGAAAACGGTCAATAAAATGATTTGTCATGCTCAGTGAGAACAGCTCTTTAATCGCAACTTTCCTCCAGCGCACTTGAACCACAGCGAAAATGTTAATAAACGCGCACGTGTAGGTACCTAAATTTTCCATAAGGGTTGAAGTGCACTTTGAGAAAATTGCATTTAGACTTTTACAAATGAACGCGCGATTATACCGAGGGGGTCAAATACCCCAAGATATTATTTGGCCTGCTTCCAAACTTATAGAAAATTCTTTCAATTCTTTAACGCAGACGAATGTATTTAGACACATTGTTACTACGATTTTAGATTGAGACCAACTTGAATGAAAGACTTAACGCAAACAAAATAATCTCGTTAGGCTTTTTAATATGTACTTCCGGAAAAGTTATTAGAAATGTAAAGGCACAAATTATGCTTCCAGAGTAACTGTACTAAAATTATATTACACATATAGCACATATTACGAGCTTCAAGGTATGCGTTCTACAGCTTTGTAATAAAATTTCTATAGTTTTAATTTTTTTAAATTTAAACCGTAATCCATTTATAACTATGGGCAAAGGAGATTTACAGATGAGCTACCGTAATCATAATGGCAGTTTTAATGATTTTCTCAGAGTAATGCATTAGTGTAAAATTGCTTTACCATGAATTAATTTAATTTCAGCGCTATATGCTCCCGCTTATACAGTTTATACTATAAGCAGACATCCTATTAACGGCTTAACTACAAGGATGGTGTAATAGCCTGCATTTAACTATATATTGCAAAATTCTACATGCAGAGTAGAAAACAAAATTTTCTGAGTATAAATTTAAATGCGAAGCTGGTGGGATGAAATGGGATAATATATGAAAATGTACCTAAATTATTTTAAATTTCTGCACAACTGCAGACACCAAAGCTCTATTATAGACTCTGGTAGTTAATGGTTCTTTCAGAGATTGAGAATTTCTTTTACAGATGAATATTAGAAACCACAGAGAAAGCATTTTGCCTAAATGGTAATATAGGTAATAATAATTCAATAATAAAATTCAAAGAATTTTATGGCAATAATGAACGTGGTTTAGGAACGATAGAAGAGGGCTATCTGTCATCGCATAGGATGTAAGGAGTTTTTAAATTTAGATTTAATTTTTTTTTTTCGATTGTTTTTTATAGAAATAACTAGAATTCTGGAGAATTTGAGAAATTAGGTCATTTGGACGTTCACAGAATATCAAACTTTAGCTAGTTAATTTGACTCCCAAAACTAGATGGTCATTTTGGTGGAATTGTAATAAAATTTTAAACCGTGTAAAGTTCGTCTTTGTTGAATTTCAATTTCAGTAGCTCTTTTTTATTTTATGGGTTCCTAGGAGACGCATTAACTGTAAGTAAGCTCGAGTATTTCATGATTTGAATGAGGCGTATTGGGTTTAGAGCAGTGATTTTTAACCGGTGGTCCCTGGAAGCTTTTGAAGTGGTCCACGAATCAATCGGAAAAGTATTAAATAAAGTTGGAACGTTATTTAAAATCGTTTTAAAATTCAAAATTGATTCCGAAATCCAAAAAAGCACACACAAATTGGTGAATCTCTAATAAAGCCTTATATGTTTAAGGCTGCTCAAAAACTTTTAAAGCTCGAAAGAAAATTCATGAAATACCACTTTAAAACGAAACAGTGAAGTCGCGTATTCAAAAATTATCAAATGATAATGATGCACAATTAAGTTATTGACAAGAAGTCCTGGCCTTGACGATTGCCCTTAAATTCCAATTAAAAAGGTGTTAATTGGATTAACGAATATTGGATTTGGGATCCCCTGAATTAGGTAACCATAATTAACGATTGTCATTAAAATGAGTTACAGCAAAACCGTCCGATTGAATGGGGCCTATTTTCAAAAGAAGCGCTCTTAATTAACCTGGCTTTTGACACGGATCGCTGGTATTTTTAAGATGCCTAGGAAGGACTTATGCCCAGTTTCTCCAATGTATCTTAAGCTCTACTTGAATCTTAAGATCGCCTTAAATCTTAAGTCTATCTTAAAACGTTGCACCAACGCAAATCTGCATCTTATATTCACAAAGGCAGCCTTACATTTAAGTCGTGAAAATCTGCGACTTAAGTCGGCATTATTGTTAGTGAAGTTGAAAATGAGTGGCATTTTGTCTTTCAAACGTCACTTTTCAAAATGGAATTGATCGATGTCGATGATGTCGATGTGGTTGATATGGTAGACATAGTAGAAAATATTCGAATACCACGGCAAATTCACATTAGGAGAAATTTATTTAATATTTATTCTAATGTTGAATTTTTTCGACGATTTCGACTCGAAAAAGGGACTGCTTTATATTTATTGGAGAAAATAGAACATAGACTAGAGTACTTCCATAACAGGTAAGTACACATCATTCATAGGTTTGTTTCACGTTTGTATACTTACCTACATATAATGCTTTTTGTGACTATTGTATAGTGCGAATTCAAGGTGTACAATAATGTTTTTTGAAATTCAGGAATAATTCCATCAGTCCCATGAATCAACTTTTGCTAACGTTAAGAGCTTATGCCAGTGCAGGGCATTTTGTTGCTGTTGGAGACTTTGTGCATGCAGACAAGTCAACAGTATGTAAAATTGTTTCAAAAGTTTCAAGGCTCATAGCATCAATTGCAAGGGAATTTATATACATGCCTCGAAATGAAGTTGAAATTGCAAGTGCTCAGAATAAATTTTACGACATTGCTGGTTTCCCTAGAGTCATTGGGGCAATAGATGGATGTCATATAAAAATTCAATCACAAGGTACTTACTACACTATTTTTTTCACATTATTTTTAGTATTATACTTTACATTCGCTCATTTCTACAAATAAGAATTTAATTTAAAGGTGGAGCTGATGCTGAAATATATCGAAACAGAAAGGGATATTTCTCTGTAAATGTGCAAGCCGTTACAAGTGCTGACCTGTTATTCCAAGATATCGTCGCACGTTGGCCAGGTTCGACGCACGATACCACCATTTTTAGAAATTCACGATTAATGCATAGATTCAATAATGGAGACTTTGGAAATAGTATCTTGTTGGGTAAATAGCACTTTTTTCAATATTAATTTACAATCGCTACTTACTTTTTAGGAGATAGCGGTTATATGAATCTTTCATATCTATTTACACCTTTTCTGAATGTTCAGAACGATGGTGAAAGAAACTACAACAGAAGTCACGTTCAAAGTAGATATTAACATATATTATATTATATATATTATATTATATATATTATATTAACATACCTACTACAATAAACATTTTTTATTAAAATTGAAAATACGTACTTATACTTATTTAAATGAATTCATTCTTCGAAAAAATACTAGATTTATTTTATGGCAACATTTACTTGGAACAAGAGCACTTCCCAATTTCCTCTTCCATTAAGTAAATTTTTTTCTTGTGCTCAACTTCCATGGCATGTAACATTTTCTTGTGCTCCTTTTCTTGCAAAAGAATTTCTTTTTGAATTTGTAGTACTTCAATTTTAGCTCTTTCTGTAGGTCCCAGGTCTGCGTTAATTTTAGGTCTCCTTCGAGCAGACCAACGAGTGCCTCGTAAAAGTGTGGGCGTGGGCTCTTCGTAAGTAAGCAGAACGTTTTGATTGCACAGTTCAGTTTCATCATGTGTTTGTTCTAAAGGTGTAATCGAAGGTGTACTGGATGTACACGGTATTTCTATGTTAATTTCTTCTTGATTGGGCTTGGAAGATATCAAAATCGGCATTCCAAGAATATCCTCTGCTGGATGATCTAATATAGGTTCTACAAAATATAAAAATACTTGTATCTATGTGTGCCTCACTAAAAATATAATTAATGGAAATTCGAGTGTAAATTTTACCTTTCATTACATCAGAATCAAATTCATTTCTTAGACCAAGGACTGTCTTCTTATTTATTATATCCAAAACCAATTGTTCATTTGCTTCACAATTTTTCGAAGAAAGTGCAGGAGCAACTCCTCCACCAGTTTTGTAAAGCTCCTGCCTTTCTAGTGCCGCCTTTTTTCTTGAGTCCTGCTTCATATTGCTCCACTGCTTCCGTAAAGAATTGGCGTCACGAAAGACGTTGAAACACTTTTTATTAAAATTTTGCTCAATAATTTTCCAAACGTCATCTTTTTGATGGTTTGAAACGGCGTTTGTATCTTTATTTTCGATGATATTTTTATTTGAATCAACCAAATGAATTAATAGTTTTTTTTCTTCTTGAGTGTAATTCACTCTTTTTTTATTAGAATGCATGTTGGCCGATGTCTAACAAGTTCGGTGCACGGTTCGGTGGGGCAATGACGAGTAACTCACAGAATAAGGCCTTATTCTGTGGAGTAACTATCAAGTTTGACAGTTTGCAATTATTAGGTACCTACCTTCGGTAACGCGATTCATTAGTAAAATTGGCATTCATTTGATAAAATTCTGTGTTGCCAGATCGTTTCAGACAAATTCTGATGCTTAGCTAAGATGCGAACTTAAAATTTTGGTGCAACGTAATTTAATTTTAAGGACGCCTTACAATTAAGACCGCCTTGCCTAAGGTACAGCTTATATTTTGTTGGAGAAACCGGGCATTAATTACTTAAAAACAGTTTTAATTTGTTTGGACTATCAAAGGTACCTATACCCGGACGGAGCGGGAATTACAGTTTCTCCATGGCGAATTTTATAAATGGTAAAACCGTTGTTTAGAGGGAATTTTTTGCGTTTTGCATTTTTTTCCATTTTTACATGTCTTAAGTACGTTAACTTTTGAGGTGTTCCGTAAATTTATTTTGCATTCAGACCGTGTAATCTTTGCTTTTACATGAAGTTTATCGCACCGTTTTTGCCTTTTCATGCACAGTAATGGCTACCGCTCTGTTAATTACAAGGTAAGCTTTTATTTTTGTTACTTTCCATTTTATCAATTATAAGAGCCCTTTTTCCATTCAGCAGGTTACCTTTTTACGCAAAATAATTTGATTAAATTGAGGACATTTTAAAACGTTCAAGTTAGGCATATTTCGTATCTTTGCGAACCTGGGGAAATTAACTATTTGAATATTAGAAGCTTTTTTATAATTTTAAGATAGTGGTACGTCTTTTAGTGAAGAAGTGATCCAAATTCATGGGTTCGTTATGTTTAATTTTAAGGTGATGATCTGTAGATAATCAGAAAAGTAATCCTAAATATTTGTCGTCTATCGTCCACATTTCAAGTTTTAATTCAAAATAAAATATAATTTTTCCAAGATAGTATGGCTAGGCCTTATAGGTTTGCTTACGTTTATACCTTACAATTAGACATTTAACGAGTATTACGTGCCTAGTAGAGAATTCAGTAATTAAAATCTTAATTAATAAAATTTTAAGGTTGTGTTGATTTTGGTAACTCAAATTAAATATTAGCATCACACGTATCCTGAGCGAAATAACATTTGATGAAGAGTAGAGTAGCACTCACTAAAAACGTTAAAGAAGAAGCAAATTCTCGCGTGTAGATGAAGGTTTATGCTACATCTTAAACTTGTCTTCAGATAGCCGATTCAAGTTGAATAAAGAAAATAACGAAACCAAAATAAAGCAGAACTAAATTGTCCTAAGTGGCACTACAATACACGAAATTTCCACTTTCTCTTGTAACTGGTATATAAATAATAAATTGTCTACCAGCTTTGCTGTGGTAACGTATTTTCATCCCGAAAATGGAGGTAAATTTAGGTTTGCTTAATTAGGCCCTTAATGGATGTATTCGATAATTTAAAGTAGAACCTCGATTATTCGTGCTAACGTGGGGGAGACGTCGGATAACCGAAAACTCGGATAAAGCGGAAGCATTAGCCACAGTTCTACATGCATATGTAAATCGAAAATGCGCAACTCGTTTGTCACGGATAAGCGGACGCTTCCATTGCCACCTCGGATAATACGGAATTTTGTTTTAGATTTATGAGGTTCGGTTAACACGGAAGATCGGATAATCCGGGCTTTACTGTATCTAATTGGAAGTATGTAACATTGTCGAACCTTTAGGAAGAATGCAGGAGATGTACAAACAAACAGGTACAGAAGGTGTAAAATGTCACACAAAAATAGTGATAAATTTGTCTTCTGATTTCAATTACATTACACAGTATCTATCTATCTATTTGATGTATAAGTTAGCTTTTACGAAATCGCACCTACAATTCTTATTGATGACTACCTACTCGTCTAACGTATTCAATTAAAGGGAACGGAATTTGTACCTATCGCACTTCCACGCCCACAAGGAATTGCGCTCTTGACGACACAATTATTTAAACTAAAAAATGTCCCTCATTAATTATAGGGCTGTGAAATGCACCAAAAATACGAAACTAAAAAATAACGTTTTAATTAAGGCTTCTGCGTTGGGTTTGCGTCATCAGCGAACTTTTTACCTAACTTAATTAGATTTCAAATTTTTATACCACTAAATCATCCTCTACCTGACATTGCATTCTCTTAAATCAAATTACTTGATCACTGGGAAATTTCAAGGGTTTCTTCGCCGTGAGAGATGCTTTCCAATATGCGAACGTTATAATATACTTGTAACTCCGTCTATGGACACTCGGCGGCAGTTCAGCAGTTGGACATAGTCCCGCGTAGATGTTTTTCAGATTCCATACAGGAATACCGAAAAACTTTCATGGAGGTTCTAGAACATTCAAGTATACGTGGGCAGATGGCTCTGCTTCGTGCCAAAGTATTTGGCTTGGAGATGGATCAATAATTACGTAACTAGGGGCGCCATGATAAATTCGCTTTCCCATTTTAGAGCTAATTATTAATTTATATATCTACTTTATAGTATATCGCCTTAATCTAGTCGGGTAGCTGTCAGTCACATAAGCTCAATGATGGCGTAATTCGCAAAATAAGGTATGTTCTAAAACCTTCAGTTTTCTCCAGAAAATCGCTTAGAAAATTATTTTAACTCCAATTTCAGCTAGGTACCTCCTCCGAACTCATGACATAGAAGAACCTTCGCTTTGAATTTAGGCTCTGCATAGGGAAGGTTATATCAAGATGCCTTTTATTGCAACAAAACTGGAAACCGTTGTATTTTTCTTTTACTACCGTCGTTGCCTCCTTGCTTTTGTTTAACAACACTCTGGCCGCTGCATAGGCTAATATCACAAGAATACCAGACGCTGGGATTTTAATAGTGCTGATGTCACTAATTCTGCTAATGCCATTCTTTTCTACACAATGAAATATTGGGTGGGGTGGCGGGGCCTTCTTAATGTCTCAGAACTCTCTTCAAATTTTAATATTCCTCTTCGGAGTCTGCGACCAATGTAAACTAACTAACTTTTCCAATTAACTGCACTGAAGATCATCATCAGAACCATCAATAGACAAGATAAAGTCTGGCTATTGAATGTTTTCCGGCGTAACGTCACCAAGAAGCGTACTTGAACTTGTTTTCGGGGTAACATTAACGTAATTTATTATTAATTATCGTGCGACCAGGGCAAGTCAGATTGAGGATTTATTTAATAAATTTGAACATGCCTGGTGTAAATGTAGTGGAATTATTTTTTTTTTAAGAATTGGGATGTCTGTAACGTTTCAATATGTGTAGGGGTTACGATGAAACAAAACAAAGTTTTTAAAGAGGTCAAATTTCGACACAGAATATTAAAATGACTTTGGTGGCGGTGAAAATATTTCTTTATTAATAAAATGTCTGGCGCCACAAAATGCGCCTTCGCTCGTGCCATAGCCACAATTGATCCCAAGTAGCTATCCATCTAGTTCGAGTCGAAGCTGTCGGAACCAGTATGGACAATGAGGTCGGAGGTCCCAAACGAAACTTGATCAATAACGCCACACCGGGTGTATGTTGGTACCATACATTTTGCCATGGTTTGTGATGGTAAAATATAAAATTGTATGTGCTAAATTAAAGTGTAGGGAGGTCTGATTAAGTTTGCATGCGTTATAAAAGATTATATCCGATTGTTCTGATGCGATAAGGAATGTTATCAGTAGTAATTTAATTAACGCACGTATTCTGGTGCTGATAGCCAGAGATGCAGGTGATCAACGATGTGCGTACTATTTTCGGCGTAACTGGGGACGCGTTCCTTCGCAGCCGGCGTGATCAATTTAATTATGATTGTTGTTCCCTTAAATACTATGAGACACGATTTGAGACAAACCTATTCTTGTTCATTAACTTCTTTACTTTCCCGTGTGGTTAGGCACCCATCGGGCGCGGATACTTTACGATGTTTCTACAAACCTTGGTTTAGAGATGACTTCTTCTTATTCATTATCCACCTACTTTTGCACGCAATTGCTAAATGTCCTTTCTTTTGGCACTTATAAAATTGCTCCGATTTGAATCTTTGGCATTGTATGACCTCTTCTTACCGCGACAATGGCAAATCAGGCTAATAGACACGATCTCTCTCCCTGCAATCTCTAGAAATGATAGGCTGGTCCGCACTTCATCAGTAGGTACTCTAATATCGATGAAGCGTTCCTTTAGTTCTACAACATCCTCAATTATCAAATCTGAATTGAATTTTCCCATGCATCTAATTGGGTCAACAGAGAAGTAAAAATCACATCGCAGAAATTAGATGACCTAATTATTGTAAAAAGCAGTTAGCTTTCAGAATTATATTCCAAAAGGGAAAACAATCATTTTAAGCTATTCAAAGATACCAAAAGGCTACTAAAAAAATATATCCAAAGCTAGTTACATCTCTAATTCGGTCTGGTCTTTCAAATTCTTATGCTAAGGCACCTAAAAATATAACAGTAAAACTTTGATAAAGTAGAAAATTACTTTTTTTAGTAAGTACATTGCGCATTCTTTGGTTAGTCCATTTTTTGCTAGACAGGAAACAGACACATATCAAATTCTACAACTGTGAGAGTGGGCTCTATGTTAAGGATTTAACATCTAAATGAACAAATTGGTTGTGCACTGTACGCAGATGACATCTCATTATTAATCTCAGATCTCAGAAACACAATAATTCTTTTCATTCTTCAAGAAATATCCGAAGTAAGTTTACATAAACTCCATAACTGGTTCAACACGAGTTCATAAACTCTAAATGGAAACAAAACAAGTTACATTAAATTTCATAATATCAAAAGTGTAGCTACCTCAAACTATTTAAATGTATTAATCCATGAAACTGCACTGTACTAAGGTCACTGATAAACTGTCCTAACTAAACTTTATGTTCAGCAACTTACGGACGGTTATGATGTTACCACAGTGAATAAACATATACCATGCACTAGTTGTGTCTGTAATTAGGTACCTATGGTCATAGATTTAAATTATTTACTCTATAGTATGATCATAGAGTAAATAATTTATATTACTCTATGGTATGGTATATGTCTATGGGGAACATCCATAAAGTAAAAAAACGTATTTGTATCTCAGACACAAATTTTGAGAACAATTACGAATGTATGAAAGTTTCATACGTAAAGGGATATCTTTAGAGAACTTATTTTTAATAGTCGGACCCAATTAAAAACGAATAGAGTTGTGCACTTTTATAATTTACGCAACAATGTTCAGTTTAGGACAATTATCGAGATCTAAAATTAAAATAAAACAAAATTCTCCACTTGTTTTGGGAATTAAAGTTTATAACAATCTACCTCGGAAAAAAGAAGCTGCCTTACTACATGGGTTAAATTTCAAAACAATTTGTACAAGTATCTATAGTCAATGGGTGTTTCTACAGCATTCAATAATTTTTTTATATCCTCCAATATCTAATTGTTTGTTTGCCTGAATGTTAGGTATATTGACTTGGTCCATACAAATGTTATTCGTTGAAGGAATTAAATAAATGTAAATAAATAAATAAATAAATAAATACAAATCCTTATTTATACTCGTATACACCCATTCCGTTGTAAACATTTACCAAACGCATTCGTTTGATCCCCAAGAACTTAATTTGAGGCATTTTTGATAACCACTAGATGTCATCGTCATTATGCACAAATATCTTTGTGAACTCGCCGAAAAAAGTTAATTTAATGCATCTTATCTTTCCATGTGACATAATAACTGCGGTTTTCTTATGAAAGGCAAGGCAAATGTATTAATAATAATATTTATTTTCAATCAGATACAGAGATGTAGGTTGAAACATGTCATAAGCATTATTTTCGCCCTGTTAGCAAAAAAGCTTAAGGCTATACTTACTTGTAATTCTGCTCCATTAAAATTTTCTACCTTTTCTGGAGCTTAGTAAAAAAAATGGTAGGAAGCAACTAATGCATGGGTTCTGCAAATCATTTTAGAAAAGATTGAATGCAGTTGCGACAAAAATAGTACACGTCACGTCATGTAAAATTTATATTTTCAAACTTTGGCAGTTTTTATTGTAATTCCCTTTTGATATTATGTGCGCGCCCATTTGATAAAGTTCTCTTAATATTTGTCGGATTTTATATTAAGTTGTTTCGCTTATGTAAATTTGCTTAATAATTCCTTGCAGGCATAGGAGACGCCAGAAAATACGTTTTTTATTTATAAATAGGCCTTTTATTTGGAAAATGACGTTTTCTTCAATGTTGTTATTGCAATAAGGTTATCAGAAAAAGAACGGGTCAAGTATATCCGGAAATACGGCGGTCCCACACGACATGAATGTCATGCAATTGATCGACGATAAGATTCTTGCAAAGTAAATATTGTGCTTACCGTATTCCTTTATACACAATTTGTTTCTTTTTATAATATAATGTTAGAAGGAATTTTATTAATGCATATATTAAGTTTTTTTAATAATATCATGCAGGGCCAACAGCTATGTACTTAGATATTTAACGTTTTTAAAAATTCGGAGCAGAACTCTAATTTAAACAAGTTAGCAATCTCTCTCAATTAATTGTCTCACAGTAGTATAGCGCAATTTAAAGTGAATACCATTACCCTATTATAAACAATTTAATTAAGGCATAGGGATATTAAGCTAGTCGACTGCTGCTGCTACGTTGGATAACGCCAAGTTATTTACATACAAATATTTGTCCAGTATCAAAATTTACAACAGATTTAAAAACAATTATTTACAACTAACAAAAGCTGAGCTTAATCTCTGTTGACTCTAGACATTTACATTTTAATGAAAACAAGAACTTGAAGAGAAGGAAGACAAAAGACGTTAATCTTTTTTTTCTTTGTAATCAAAGCAAACTTTTAGCGCAGAAAGTTTTTGATTACTTCAAAAATAAAAACTGTCAAAGTCTCGATTATAACGTCACAAAATTCGGGGAAGAAGCGAATAATGAGGAACGCTTTATAAAGCGAAATGAAATAACGTATTTTTTTAGTTTTATTACAAATACACAGTTTATTACAACAACTGTAATATTTTTATATCATCTAATATCGACAATTTTGCCATATCTGTCTTTTAAATCGTATTTTAACAGTGGAATAATAAAACACATTTGAGTTTTTATTTCAGATTGTCCAATCAATTTCCATTCAGTAGGCAAAGTTATAACAGCAAGAATTACTCTCATATCAAAGTATAATAGATGGTATAAAGGAAACATTAAAAATGTCATAAAGGCGTTAATGTTATAATTTAGAATTTTATTCTTATAATAAACAATGTTTGGAAAAAAAATTGAAATACGATTTTATAGACTTGCGTTATACTTTCGTTGCTCTAAAGCAACAACTAGGTACACAAAATACAAAATGTTTTCCATATAACATCTTTAAGGTTTTTCAAATTTAAAAAATTTTCTGTAAAATTTAGTTTGCGTAACTACGGGTCATAAATATATCTCTCAGATTAGATTTGTAATAGTATAGATTTACATTATACAATATGAACAGTTTGACAACATAGAAAAATATTTATGTACTATGTTACAAAAACTCATTTGCCTTATTTAACGTCGTTAAAGGCACCTTTACATCATACTAAAAAAGATACACACCACGGCACCTAACGATACAACATAATAAAAGTGAATATGTTTAAAAGGTTGCTAGGAATCTACAGTATAATGTTAAGATTTGGCCACGTGGATGTGTGTAAACTATTGGCTAAAAAGCCGTAACATCGAGACACTTACTCATGATTATATAAAATGTAAGTCTCACAAATAAGCCTAAATTAACATAGTACAGATATGCCACACTTAAAATTAATAGGACCTTTAAAAAGCTGTAAACGCTGATGGAAGTGTGTGCCCTTGCAAATTAAGTAACAGATTGAAATCTTTCGCAGACATTTCTGGAAATAAGTGAGCATCATTTCCACCATTAAACTTAACAAAGCAAGTGTCGAAGACAAACATATTCTTAAGCCACTTAAACATAAAACAGTACAAAACAATCACATTATCTATAATTACATCACATTTTGGGTTAATTTAAACACAGCTAAACACAAATTACAACATACTTATACAATTTATTCTCATTACGCTTACTTTTTTTTTAGCAAAAAATAATAAGAATAATATTCCACAAAATCCTGAATATCACAGAATAAATACTTACTATAATTATCTAATGGCTCGTATAAAAAGTCTTTAGATAGAAATATTTTAATTTTACGTCGCTTTTAGTTGCTTATTGTACATGCGTTTGTAAGGTTTAAGGGTACAGAATATAGGCAAAGGTGAAAGAGATGATTTTTTTAAATTTAAATTGACGATTTTCATTTGGCAAGGTACATCGCACATTACTTTCTTTTCATTATACTTACCTACTTCTATGCATTTCCTAGTATTGTGAGGCATAACTTTTGGTTTAAATGCATCCCCCGATGATCTATTCGAGTTCGAAGTATGAGTTTTGCATCGGGAATTATCTGTTTGTGCAATTAAAAAACTTTTGAGTAACGATTGCCTTTTTTAAGTTAAAGATTTCAAATTTTGCTAGAAGTGAAGTCAAACTACGGAGAACTCTCGGTATGATTTTAATGATTATTCCCATTAAAATATTGTGTTTTTATGTACATATCGCTAATTTTCCGTTAACTAGAGGCAACTTTATGGAAAACGCTGGGGTAGTAAAAGGGAAACATCTTACTGTAAAATTCCGCTCACTAACTTGTTTGTCTACTGGCGCTAGACTGGCATGTTGTTAAGTTCTAAATTACATAGTAGGCATCATAATCTATATACGTTTACACAGTTTTGCAGTATAACCAAAGAAAGACATGAGATCTTGTGGCGGAATATCTTGGAAACTAAGCGATCAGATCTCAACAAACTACAGCCCTAAATATAATTAAAGAAATACCTTTCAACGATCGTGACTGACTATATTTTTTTACGATAAGTAATAAAGGAATTAGGAATCGTCCTTATCGTAAAAGCTGTCCTCAATATCGTAAAATTAACGGGTCCAAAGGTATTTTAAGCTACCTTCAAATGGTACCAGTAGTAGTATTTTGTGACATAATTCCATTCCCACGTTATTTGTCATGAATTATACAGAAACAAACAGTTCCTTCTTGGTTTTTATAGTTCTTTGAGTTACCTCCATTATTTTCCATTTAAATACGACGCTTTTGGGAAAATATTATATAGAACGGTGTCATTTTGTTTTGTTTTTGTAATTCCTGATGCTTTAAGTTACATGAAAATTGCCAAGAAGCAATTATATCACTTTTAATCGTTTTTCATTCTATTAGGTACATATTCCCGAAATTTCAAATATTCTTTAACATATGTTAATAACCATTTAAGCATACATATATTTTCATCTGGGATGTTGTGGGGGACAACTTGCTCTTCAGATGGTGATTCCTTTCCACTGCAATTTATACAGTTCAAACCACCTTCAGTGCATTCACGTGTAGCCCGTTTTTGTACGAGCAAAATATATGATTTTCAAAATACAGATTTTCTCAAAATAAACAGCTTTCTCTATGCGCGCGCCCTCCTACGCACGTTAGCACCCCTGTAGACCTGTGAAGAACTATAATTAGCTCGGGCTAAATGTTAAAATTAATGTTGAGCATGGAGGAGAAAGTGTTTCTGGTGGAGCATTATTTTAGCTCATACGGAATCGGCATACGTCAATTCTGTCGTGCACGTAATTTGGTCCTGCGAGATCAAGTTACTCTGCAGCTCTTCTGCTGCAGTTCGTCATTTCGTTCCACATTTTTAAAGCAAAATCATTTCACGATTTACCCATTGTATACTGTATTATTGGGTGCTACACGTTGTGTTACTTTAAAAGGCTTCAAATAAGTTTAGATCTGCCAACTTCATCTGTTTGGGAGGTAGGTTTCTAAGAAATACTTTCCCATTGTTTTTTTTTCTCTCCATTTTATTACGTAACCAGAGCATTTATCTGCGTTAAATTGTTTACAAATTTTCCCGTTGAATTGGTCAAGGTTGCAAGAACATTCGACCAAACAAATATTACTCGTGTTCAGTTCAAGTTTTTATTTTGCCGATTGTAATGGCAGCAAGATTCTCCGACGTTTGTAAATTATTTGTTCTAAAGTGTGTTTGTCGCCTCATTGTCCGGCTTTGGTTTTGAATTACACGCTCGAAATCGGTCGTGTTAAGTTGCATCTGCAACTTTGCAAATTAAACACAGCTTGGTTAAAAATACGCACACATTGCAGAATCCAAAATTCAGTATACAGCTCTGCAAGCTGATAAACCAATGAAAATTAATAAAATACCGTCGCCATTACTATTCTGGTTCGGTTAACCGAGCTTAGAAAAACAGTTTACATAAATTCAGGGCGACCTCGTAGTCCCAGTTAGAAAGTTTTTCTGAAAATCCAAAGGGAAAAAAGTACGGTGCCTAGAGAGTATCTTACGGAAAAGTGAAAAAATTCAAGTGTCACCATTTGAGTGGTTTAAAACGCGAATGGGTGTTCCGTTCAGTACTCAGCGTAAATCGAGCGTATAAGTTGTAATCGCCAGTTAGCTCAAGGGTGCCATTTTACAAAAATATAGTTTCTTATAAAAAGAATACGCCAAGGGATATTTGTGTAGTTATCAATGAAACCGCGGCACCTTGTCCTCCTAGTAACTAATCCACAATGTCATTCACGTACTTACCTTATCAGTTTATTTTCTTTAACAAAAACGATTGCCATTTATACAGATTTCTATAAAAAAGTTTGGCAAGGATGCCAGGGAAGGCGTAAGCGTTTTAAGAAAGAATATGTTTTTAACTAAAACTGGTAAACCTGTTCAGATGTCAGACAAAATGTCAATAAATAAATGGCGAAATTACAATTTTGAGAGCTACTGAAGAAATTAGTGCCATGATAAATTCAAAATTCATTTAAAAAGTGATTGCACTTTCTTGCTGTTGCGCTAATACACAAATAGAGATTGAAGTTAGTGAATCGTTTGTGCACATGCACAATAAGCACTTAAAAGGCGATTCAATACGTTAAAGAGTAGAGTGTCAATTATAAAATGTACAGAAAACTTTAGTCTTAAAGGTCTAAATCCTTATAACGCTAAGACATACCTGACGAGGGATCATCCCCGTCCGTTCCTACGTCATAGTTTGATTTATGTCTGTCTTTAATCACTTTTTCGCTAACTACCTCTTTCGTATGTCTAACAATGTCCGCAGTCTCATCCTCAAAGTCCTCCTCGTTCACGTACGATTCGACGTTTTTCACGAACACAGGCTCCGTATTAACCACATGACTACTATACCTCTGTTTATCAGAAGCCTTCGACACTACGGGCTGCGTCGTCTTCTCAGTTCCGTCCACGCTTTTGCTGGACCCATTGGATATAACCCTATTGTCGTTAAAATTCACTTCCTCGTCGCCCTGTTTATCGTTTATATTTATTTTATGTTTGGCGATTCGGTTCTTCACGATTTGTAAATGTCGCAGGACGTAGTCCTCCCCCGGTGCGAGCTTGTGGGCCTGCTCCAAGCAAGTTTGGGCCTGCAACAACTTCCCCCTCTCCACGTACACAACGCACAGGTTGTGTAAACCTTGAATATTTACAGGATCGAGCTCTAAAATCCTTTTGTAGCACTAAAAGGTGAAAGGTGAACTTTGATAAATAGAAGGAAATTCTACTCACATTTTCAGCGGCGTCCAAATCCTTTATGTTATTTATATAAATGTCACCGAGTAGGATAAGGCCTTTGATGTGATCGGGATGATATTTAACAAGTTGATTGAGAAACGGAGCGGCTTCCAAAGGTCTGTGATCGTCAGCCAGAAGTAGAGCGAGATTAAATAAAGCACTTCGAAAATCAACTTTTAAATGAACAGCCCGTCTAAACCAATGTTCCGCTTCTTCTATATTTTTGTCGTCCATTGCAAGCATTCCTAAATTAAAATGTACTCTTTCGTTGGTAGATTCTTTATGGAGCAATTTAAGTAAGCGTTCTCGAGCAATTTTCCTTAATTCAGGTCGTCCAAGCTCTTGAAGGAGTATAGCTGAATTTAATAATGCCTGTTCATGTTCGGGGTCGATATCCAAAGCTTTATCAAGATATGCCAACGCCTGAGATGCCTTGCCTTGCTCGAGAAAAACGACACCGAGCTAAAACAAGCACTTAATATAAAAACCGTTTCAAGCGGCGTTATTAAATCGCAATTAAAGTTCGTTAAGCAAAGTGACAGGGATACACGTTCAATACTTACGTTGTAGTAAATATCCGGGTTGTTGCTGTCGTACAATAAAGCCCTTTCGTACACTTCTTGGGCTTCCTTAGTTCGATTCAGTTTAATTAAAATATCCCCTCTATTTATATAGGCTTGTGTATAATCCGCTCGCATACTAATGGCCTGTCGATAAAGCATATCGGCCTCTTCTAAGCGAGTGGAGTTCTTAGAAATCAAATTGGCCAAATTTAAAAACACATTCAGATGGTTGGGAGCAATTCGTGCCTGATAGGATTCGCCAGGTTTCGCTTTCGGTAGCAATGATTTAGCTTTCAGGTAGGCATCCTCGGCTTCTTTAAACATTTTCAGGTGATTATACGTCCGCCCGACATTAATATGCGCACCTACGTCGTCTTCCTGCACGCTTACAGCCGTATGAAAATATCTCAAAGCTTCCGTGTACTTTCCCTGCCCTTCGAGAGCGTGCCCCACGTTATTAAATAACTTTGCATTGCGTTGATTTACACGAAGGCCCGACATAAATATCGAGTACTCCGTTTCCCAATCCCAATTCCTGACGTACGTTTTAGAGCCGTGCGCCAAAATTAATGCCGCGAGGCCAAGGGTTGTTAATTTCTTCCCCTTTTTATCGGCGAGAATGTTCCAGCCATACGCTATTAACATGCAGAAACCCATCGAAGGCATATACAACACTCTTTCGGCTACTACAAATCCTACGGGGAAGAATAAATTTGAAGCCGGCAAAAAGGGTAGAATTAAGAATGCCAGTCCCTGAAAAGAAATCAGTAATGTACGTTCTGTGAATATATATTAGCTCAGGTTTTGAGTCGTGTAAACTATTACATTTTGGTGTCTGGTTCCGCGACTAGACTATACGATCCAGTAATTAAAGGTAATAGTTTTACGTCAAATATCACACGCGATATCATAATTATAGTGTGCCACAAGTTAACTGGAATACACTTTGCAAGCGGGGTAATATAGTTTAATTCTAATGAGCCTTTTTAACTGAATTTTTAATCATAATCAATCACTACTTATATAAGACATTTTTGTATATTTTCTTGTTACAATTTATCAGTAGTGTGATACAGGTATAACATGGATTTAATTACATTTTACATGTCTTATATACTTCGTTTACGACAATTCACAAATTGATCCGGTAGAAAAACAGATCTAGAAGAATAATGAGAAGATTTGAGTTACATTAAGTACTTTTGTAACGGTAACCCACTTATTTCTATATCTGCACACATGCAGGGTACAGGTTTAGAGGAAGAGTTGTTCGAGTTGTTCATTGTACCTTTACGCTAATTACAATATTTTCAATTCATTCCACCTATTAACTGTGATTAATGATGCTAAATATTTTTAGAATTTAATTGTACAGAGTGTAGAATCGATACATGTAACATACACATTAAAAGATGTGCTACCACGTTTTACAAAACCTAGTAGCTGTTTATTGTTAGTCAATGCAAACTCTCTAATTCGGTTAGCTTTACACATCTCTTACAGATACATAGGAAATAGATATGTGTACTTAGATGTGGGCAGTGTGCACCATCCTGTTGAAACCAACAAAGTTTCCAACTTTTTTTTGTGCCATAAATCGTCGAATTTGTAATAACAAATGCTACTCAATACAGTATGTACTTTTTTTACGGGTCATATAAAAATTTAAGTTGATGATGATTTCTCTAAAAATGAAAATCTCTCAACAGTGTCTTGTAGAGCTCAAAAAGTGGCAATGAGAAAATGTTTTTCTATTTTTTGGATCTGTTCAAAATAACATTGCAAAAAATAAAAACGAAATTTCGGTTTTTCTGGCATATCTTTAAAAGAAATCGAAATTTTCTGCGTTTTCTTTAAGGCATGATAATACCTTTTTAATCGTTATGTCATATCTTCTATGGTTTCGGATATCCCCATGATGGATGTATGATAATCATCATCATTGTTTCTCAATTTATTTCGAACCAGTATTAACACAGAGCATAGCAATTTGACAATCCAATCTTCTTTTACCTGAAAATGCCTAGCTTCTATGCTTTGTACATTATTACTATACCTATACTTCTGTTTCATGTCGATTTCGCTTCGGAGGGAAAAGCCAACCCTTCTTGTAGCTGTATAGTATCTTTCTAATTGGAAATTTGGTGGACTGTTTTTGAACAAAAGCTGCAGCCGCGTAACTGCAATTCTAGTTGCATTTAACCATACAAGCAGTTGTAATTAAAGAAAGTTAGTAGGTAATTTAATTATAAAGACCTTATTTAATATTTTCTTAAGTTACCATTCATAAATAGATTGCGGACTTGTGAGCATTTAAAAGTATGTAAAGAATAATTGATAATTTGTATAATATTGTAACACTCAGTGATCGAGCAATAAAATCTGAATCTAGAATGGGTACCAATTTGAACTAAAAGCTTAAAATTGGTATAAACTGTTTCAAACCAATATAGACAACGAGGAACAAACACAGACGAACGGACAACACGTCCAAATGACCAACATTTAATCAATTAGACCCTTGACTATTGTCTACCTATTATGGAAAACAGAATTTGGAAAATTCGAAATCGTTCGCGAGTTATCATATGCGTAGACGGACGGGCAGAAAGTCCAAATGACCAAAATTTAATCCGTTAGTCCCTTGACCACTGTCTGCCTATTACTGCGAACAGAAGTGCAAAATTCGAAACCATGCGCGAGTTACCATGTACACAGATGGACGGACAGACGGGCAGGAAGTCCAAAATCATGAACGAGCTGGGTCTCTCGTTAATAAATATCAACCAATGAGCCATTAATATTCGATGAAACAGATTCATCTCACAAAGTGTAAATCTGATGAATCTCAGAAGAACTTATGAATTTGAAGTTTGATTTAATTGTAAAGAACGTGTTAAAAGATTAAGCTTATTTATTTGTAAAAATGTTATCTCCGGTCAGTGTGATAAGATTACGTTATCGCTGTTTAGGCTAATTAAATTTGAGATAAGCACGTGTTATCACCGAAGGAAATCACACGTGCAAATTTAAGCAGAGAAGGGGCGAAAACTAAAAGAGGGGAGAAAGTTTTAAATCGCAGCGGCAGACGTGATTCGTGGCCTTTTTGGCTTTTGGTTAATCGTAGTTTTTTTTTAGACGTTGCAACGCTTATTGATTTGGTGTGCGTATTATTGCAGATACCGTACTACTCTACCGCTCCAAAGCGACCGCAGACCTCAGACTATGATTTCCTTCTCTAAGCCGCAGACTACCGCCGTCTGTCCGTTCTTTTTAGCGCATTTTCCAACGCAGTTATATGTGCGCTATTGCAAGCACTTTCTCTATCCGTCCGTCCGCCCGTCTCCCCAGGCCTTAACCACTCCTGCAGTTTTCAATATATTTAGTTCGTTCTTTTTGAATTTGACAGCGTACAGCTCTGGCACCTGAGCCAAGAAAAATACCTTTAGCAAAGGCAAAGGTATCACATATAGTAAAAACCAAATGCGCGCATGCGCAGAGTACGCAATGCCAACTTTGTTATTATTATGGAGGTATTTCTTTAAAATTTGAACCATAGATGCTTCTGGTAAAGAGAAACATATCACATGTAGGAAAAGTCGAAAATTGCAAGTCATTATAGCAACGGAAGACACATCGCACATAGTAAAAAACAAATAATATTATCCAGTTATTATAAACCATTCATTTTTATAACAAACAACAATCAAATAACTTTACCACGGAATGCAATTGACTACATAGTGAATAGTCCTTAAATTCATAAGTTTTATTTTAACATAGCGTTTTTAATGCGGCTTCTTATTCTTCTTCTTCTTAAGTTATAATTTATATAATTCTCGTTTCTGAAATTCCTCCATTACGGAAGTACACGTAAATTTTGTTGTCTTGCAATGTACAGTACACGTCGGTTTGTAGTATACACAAATATCATTTTCAATTTGAAAATTCGAAACCATACACATATCCTGTACAATTTTGATATCTTCAAAATTAACTAACATTTTCTCAAGCTCTCTTTTTCAAACCACGCTTAGATTTTCCGAAAATTGAAATAATTTCCTACTCCACTTAATATAATCAAGTAGGAAATATAAACCATTTTATTTTAAGAATAATAGTTCCCTTTAGAAATCATATATGGCATTCCTTATTCGCAAATATCTCCCTTGAATACCGACGCACTCCCATCCACGCGGTGCATAGACATTTACATTGCAAATAAAAGAATAAAAATTATGGAAATATTTGCGCTAGAAATTCGTGCACGTACGCAAACCTCCAGGATGAGAGTAGAATTAGCTATCGTACAATTCATATACGAACTAAATTCTAGTTCTTGTGACACACTATGCGCAGGGTAAATGAAAAACATTGATCTTACCATTAAAATAACTGCACTTTGCTGCCGGTTGTCGCTATTGAAGGCAATGAATAAAAATGTTAGCAGAAATGCGTAGGCGGTAATCGTCGCTAAATTTCTAGGGTCGGTGATGGACTCAACTAAAGGAACAGTCCCCATCGTCCAATCACAACATAAATCACAGGGAAAGAGAAGTAACCATAAATTTAAGCTTATTAGGTAGTGATAAGTAAGTTGCCTAATCGGAGTATGAGTGACTGATGCTGGATTGTCGAAACGCGTGAAGACTGGCAGTTGGGATCCCATTATTTGTAGTCTCACTAGAAGTAAACAAATTGTTGTAACGGCAAGAACAAAAATCCTTTTTGTAGCTTCATTCGACCACGGAAGGTGGTAGGCTGTTTTTCCGGTAATTGCAGTTTTTACCATGTGTTTTATTTCAGGCAGTCGCACCTGACAACGAAAAGCTTATTAAAAACAGTCACACATCGCTTAGGCATACCTTCTGTTGCACAAATATCTCGTAAACTGCGCACACGCCCGTAATTGTGATCCCTTGTTCTTTGCACAACATTGCAGTCGCTACGCACAGCATGGATATCGACAAACATTTCCAATCTGAAAAGGAAATGGCCTGTAAGATTGCTACAATTTTTCCTAGAGAAACATAAAGAAGGTACCTAATGATTTTTGATGTAAAGCTATTAGAGTCCAATTTGAGAATTGGCAAAGCTTTTGGAACGAGCCGAGCCGGAAAAGTTGAGGCATGCAATTTGTCAAAAGAAAATACTACTCATATTACCTGTAGCCTTTTTACTTTTTCCCGACTTGCAGTAAAGGGTGAACGCAGCTAAGAAGAAAATCGACGAAAGAGTTTCGGCTCTGCCAACAACACCGGTTACCTACGAAAATTCCGCACATTTTTAATTCTCCTGCACTAATTTAGCTTAATCAAGTTTAAATTGCTAATAAGGTGAAATATCATTAATAAGCTCCCCTTAATAAAAGTCGCTATAATTTTCAAGTTTAAGGGATATTGTAAGAGTTTCTCGCTAACTGGGAGCATTACAAAATGAATTAGGTGAGGGTTTATTCTAGAAAATTGCCAAGAATAAAAACGTATAACGTAATTAAATAACTCACCGCTTCCGTATGTATAGGGTGCACTGCAAATAGCATCGCTGCCGCAAAGCTTGATAACTCCGGAACGAACATGGAACACATCCTGAAAGTAGCAAACACTTATTAGATTTATCATGTGCTCATTTATATCAAGCAGTCTACATTCACATGAATATTATAAAACGTGAGGCTAAAAAGCAGATGTCTTTATTGATTGAAAGAATGATATTCTACTCTAGGCTAATAAAATCTGAACTCTGCTTGGAAACTTTGATGTGTTGAATAACTGAAGCTTTTTACGGACAACGAATTGAAAATACGAATTCAAAACGAAGAAATACATACCTAAGTCTGCTAATTACGAAGAAAGAGTATAACTACAAAAAAAACTATGTACAATGCGCTTTGTACAAAGATTAACCCCGATTCAAGTGCGTCCAGCTTTGATGTCCGGCAGTAATTAATGGAGATGCAACTGGGTTATACTTTCAAAGTAGTTTTCGTGTTGCATTTCTCTTTTGTTTCTCTTTAATTATACCTTTCAGCTTTAGTCTAGTAGGTATCAATGTTGGAAGCATTATACGGAGGTATCTATTCAACAGGTTACCAACGCGGTACACATCTCGAAGGGAGTCATTATGGTTTATCGGTACCCTAGGGAGGGGGATAAATACTTGTCATTTTGTGCGCGTTATATAGGTACGTTCTCCTGCCAATAAGCATTCACGAAAAAGCACTCTTGTCGATTGGGTTGAGCTTTACAGATCGGACAGGAAAGTCCGTATTAAATATGTGTTAGTAATCAGATACTTTCGTTGGTAGAGGGTTGGTGTAGATTAAAAAGCCATACATGACAAGGCGCTTACTACACTGCTTTTTGCAACGTAAATAGCAGCACATAGGAAGGTCCGATACTCGCACTTTACCAGTTACAAGTTTAGACTAGGTCTCGGACTACGTATAGGCAAACAAACGTTTTCCTTTCCATTAGAACGAGAATTGCGATTATTCCTTAATTTTTTCAGTAACTATACCGCATAGCAGAAAAACTCAACCAGCTTTGCTGAATAACCGGTATCTAGAAGCGTAGCTTCTGAAGTTACTTATTTGCTCTAGGAGACGACGAGTGAGCTTTGTGTGTTCATTTTGTTTAATTGTGTGTCTTACCGCCTAGGTATAACGCACGTAAGTGGAGTAAATAGCGAAGTTATCCATTTTTGCAACCGTTCCTGTTCAAATCGTTGTTACAGCCGCCGAAAGCTCTCTTGCCAGGAACGAAGAGAGAGAATCTATTTTATTAAATTTTGGGTCTGTTAATTATCGATTAATCGATTTTAGTTTTCTAATGTATACCTGTTTGATTGAGCTGGGCCTTGTCTCAAAAGAAGCGTTTTTAAACAAGTTGTAAATCAGCGTATGCATGATAGAGCGCATTTTTGGTAATACAGGTTATTTTATAATATTTATATATTTTATTAGCGAAGTTTAAAATTATCGATCTCACGAGTAATTTTGGCTGCGTTGAATCATTAATTTTATTTAATTTCAATTGAGGGTACGTCTTTATTTTGTAAATCAAATCATAAAGTAAATAATTAAGTTTTTATACTGGTAGCGCAATCTAACGGTAAAATTATGGCACCTCCGAAAACCATATCGAAATTATTTTCTCAAATTATCGATCTCACAAGTAATCTAACTCAAAATAGACTAGAGCCTGCACATCTACAGTACATCAGAAAGCTTTTAGTGAAAATTTAGTCTCTAGCTATTGTAGTTGCTGAAATCTCACCCGGACAGCCGGTCAGCTAGCCATACCGAATATAATAGCGTATTTTTTTCAAAAATGCGCTAAAAACGTGAAGGTTGACATCGGTCCCATATTTTTCGGATGTCGGGGAAAGGAGTAATTAATTGAAAACAGTTTAATTTGTTTGAACGTATCGAAGGTATAAATGTACGAATTCCAGTTTGTCCTTCCTCAAATGGCCGTTTAGATAAATAGAAAACGTACTTTGAACTTGGATCTTTTTATTTTTGCATCGTCGTAGCTATGTTTTGTAAGTACCGAAAATGGTTAAAGTCCCCTACAAGCACTAAAAGCCGGGCAATGAAACTTTGGGATTTACTGAGAGTCCTAATAGGCTCAAAAAAACTTTATAGTACCTCCTTAAAAGTGTTAAAGGCTCCTAATAGACCCGCTATCAACCACTCTATGACTATGAAACTTAATTGTCTATTAGAGGTTCTAAAATCCCCACGTAAATGTCCTATACACTTGAGGGGAAGACGCCTAAAAGCTCTCAAAGACTCGCCGATGGTTTAATGAACGGAACTGCTAAATGTCCTGCAAAGCGCTTCAAATCTTTTGCAGGTTATTTGCTTTAATACTGGAGATAATAACGGGCCACTCTGTATATGCGGATGTTTTAATTTAATTTAAATCTGAAGGGCTTCCTCACAAATAAAGGTGTGAAAATTGCGTTACTAAAATTAAGGAACATCTTGTCGAATGCATTTAAGGGCTATCTGCGATAAGGGTGTTGTTATCGGACGATTTCAAGACGCACGTGTGTTTGGTTTTGATAACAATTGATGCATATGTACACGATTTCTTTTGTGCGTAATTTTGTTATACCACAAGGTCTCCTTTCTGGTATTGCATTTGAGATTGGCGGAAGTAAGAGTCTGAGTGTTTCCAGTCGAATAGCAATAAGAAACCAGTTCCAGTGATTGAGTTCAGTGTAATGGAAAAGAAAAGAAGTTTCCTGATGCTGCCAACGAGTGCTTTTGTGTTAGTGCTACATGCGCCTGAATATCGCAAAACCGTTGTTTTAACCACATTAAATGGATTCGAAAGAAAATACTGTAAGTACGCGTGGGCTAAATGTAACGGACTTGCGTCCCTTTTTATTTCAGGTTTTTTCTTGATGATTTATTACCGTTTATTGCGTATGTGTTTCGGAATATGTTTTTTGTCATTACCATTCAATTAATTGAGTGTTTATTTACATCCATTGTACGACCCAGATAGAGTTCTCATGTTCATATTTTGCTATGTATGCCCAAGATTTATCTTAGGTATTACACAAATTTTGTGGAAATCATTCTTTGGAATTCTCGGAAGTTGATCTAGGCTACTAATGGTGGGTTTATGCAAGGCTATTTAATTTAATTTAATTTAACTTAATTTAATTTATGAGTTGCAACATAAGGATTTTACCAAGATGTTTATGCAAGCATTTAATTTAACTTAAGAATTTAATTTAATTTAAGAGATCAACTTTTATCTTTTAAAGATAAAGATAAATTATTACGTGAAAATTCAAGCGAAGCGCGCTTATCTTCGGAAGTGCGAATAAATACGACACTAATAGGATCGTGTAGTATTCCCGCTAAAAAATTTGCCATATTTTTGTTGTTTTTTCTTTCGCCGTTTTCACATTGGGATACCTTCCTTGTCTAAGTTGGGATAGTTCTCTTCTATGAATCATTTTTATGACTAGTACTAGTAACGTCGAACGTGTGAAATTCTGGAATTTATCAACGTTGCAAACTGTAATGTTACTAAAAAGTTACTAGATATTTATGGAATTAAATAACTTGCATAAACCCATAGATTAAAAAATAAATTAAATTGAAATCAAAATTAAGTAAGTTTAAATTAAATTAAAATATCGTTGCATAAACCCACCATAAGTCTCCCTAAATTCTTAATTTTGAGTCATTTGTTTTGTAGCAAATGCCGGAGGTGTACGAGATTTAGAGATAAAAATTGAAAAGTTTCAATCCTAAAGAGTCTCAAAGGATTTTTATTGAAAATACGTAGAAAAGTCTATTTCCTTTTAAGTGTGCTGTGATTTGCCAAAGTTGGAAAAGTGAAGACTCAAATCGCACGATTAGAATTTTATATACGCTCCTATAAGAGAAACATCCTAAAATTTCCATGTTTCCATAGCTTCCAGCAGCTTCAGCTGTCGAGACCATTTAAGGAAACATCTGTTACAAATTTCAACCAAAGAATCCTGCCACACGTGCACACATATCGTACACAAATACGAACATACAGACATTTTTTAAAACGTTTTTTTTAACTTCTGGAACCTTGAAATGTAAAAATCTCAAAATCGAAATTTGGAATCATTTCAATAAGCTCCCAATTTTTTATTGGTGAAGTTAAAATAAGAAAGATCTGATAGCTTTCATTTTTTCATTTTGCATTATTTTTTTATATGACCTAAGTACTCGTTAATTGACCCGTTTTAATTAGAAATACATCAAGATGCCCATTCACGAATGTATTCATCGACACTAAAAGATTCGAGTCTAACATTTTCCACAATATATTATAATTAAGTATACATATATCCTTCGCGTGATAATTATGTAAGCTCCGTGTTTATACATGTACCTGTAATTTTCGAGAGAGACGGGAAAATCGAGTTATCTAAATGGACTCTAGTTTTGGTACATCAACCCTAATGAAGGGTAATTTCTCTCCACTTATCGAAATTGTTGACACACTTTAGCGGAATAATAATAATGGTGATTGTAAATATATTGTAGATTTTCCAAAAGAAGATTGCGGTTGTTATTTTGTTCTCTTCCTTTGCAGTATTCAATTTCGAAAATACCGCTATTAGTTTTTAGCACATTTTCCAACGTCTGTCCAATGCCTTAACTACTCCCACAGTTTTTAAGATATTCAGTTTGTTCTTTTTGCATTCGGTATAGCGTATAGCTCTGGCACCTGAGGCAGGGAAAATCTTGACGATTAAACTGCGCAATGTCAATTTTCCTAGTTATAAAGATATTTTTTTGAAATTTTAACCATAGATGTGTTTAGTAAAGATATGCATATCGCGTATTGTAAATCATCAGATGTGCGCATGCGCAAACTGCGCAACTATCAAATTTCTTATTAATAGAGATATTTTTTTTAATTTTAACACAACAATGCTTCTAGGAAAGATAACATCGGCCACCTGAACCAAGAAAAATCTTGACAATTAGACTGCTAATGCGCATTATATCCGTTCTGTGACTTTTTGGGAACTACTGATCAATGCAAGGCAAAACTGTTGACAACACTGTAATTTAAAG